TGTGAAATTGTACGGTAATGCTTTCTGGAGATGAGACTCTTCACAGCAGACCTCCAGGAACACAAAGAGAGCCGGATAACCCAGCGGCCTCACTCCATGTGAGCCAATCAGACCTGTGGACTCAAATCTCCCTATACACTCCCTCCGCTCAAATGGAAAAGAGTCCCAAGCTGTTCTGTTACACATCTGTGTGTATGTGACAATTTGAGAGTATGTGTGAGTAAAATAAAACCAGTGTGATTCATAGTGCAAATGCAAATGCCTTAGTTTTCGACAAAAAAATTAAATGTGCATGCTGTATTAGACAGAAAACATGGACATGCGTGCACTCTTATGGCCAACTGATGTCCTTGGCACCTCTCTGAGCGTGTGTGTAGCACATCAGGAGTGACTTTGACAAGCTGATAATGGGGCTCTTTTTGGGGGCTGGTGCTGTGTGGAGCCCCTCTGCACACTGGGCTTATCTGGCTCTCTCTGGGGAAGTGGACAGAGAGAGAAAGGGAGAGAGAGAAAAAAAGAGATTCTCAACTGAAGCTTGCACCCTTATCGCTCTGACAGCCACCGTTTACATGAGAGCGGAGTGCCAGTCAGATCATTTACAGGAACAGATTAATACTGCCCAATGTGTCTTTCTCTCTCTCTCACTCACACACACACTACAGAGGTCTGTCTGTGACCGCACGCACATTTCCCCTTTTCTTCCGATCTTTTGTCACTCTAGGCTGTCTCACACTAGTCTTTGTGCACTGCAGTGTGTGTGCACTGTGAAATAGATGCAGTCTATATGGAGACTCACTCAGAATTATTGATGGGAAATAAGAGAGCACATTAATTCAAGTGTCTCACTGAGGACTTGTACTTTCCAACTTTACTAACTTTTGAGAGAAAATAGCTATTGTTTACTGCAGCAAATGCAACCATATATACAGGTGCATCTCAATAAATTAGAATGTCGTGGAAAAGTTAATTTATTTCAGCCATGGTGTTGGTGTGCTTGACTGGCCAGCAAACTCACCAGACCTGAACCCCATAGAGAATCTATGGGGTATTGTCAAGAGGAAAATGAGAAACAAGAGACCAAAAAATGCAGATGAGCTGAAGGCCACTGTCAAAGAAACCTGGGCTTCCATACCACCTCAGCAGTGCCACAAACTGATCACCTCCATGCCACGCCGAATTGAGGCAGTAATTAAAGCAAAAGGAGCCCCTGCCAAGTATTGAGTACATGTACAGTAAATGAACATACTTTCCAGAAGGCCAACAATTCACTAAAAATGTTTTTTTTTATTGGTCTTATGAAGTATTCTAATTTGTTGAGATAGTGAATTGGTGGGTTTTTGTTAAATGTGAGCCAAAATCATCACAATTAAAAGAACCAAAGACTTAAACTACTTCAGTCTGTGTGCATTGAATTTATTTAATACGCGAGTTTCACAATTTTAGTTGAATTACTGAAATAAATGAACTTTTCCACGACATTCTAATTTATTGAGATGCACCTGTAGATAGAATGAGATAAAACAATGGATGGATGGATGAACATTACAGTTGCCAAGCAAAGTGTAAGGTTCCCGCACTTTTAGACCAATGAATTTCTATAACTTTTCCTAGACAATTTGTAAAAATGATTTCATAGACACTGCACTCAGTGTTACCTAAGCTGATTAAATGTTTTAGCGCTGAGGATTTAAATTTATACATATTACATTAATTTTATAATTATTTATATATAATTTATTATGTGCTGTCGCAGGTGTTGCATTTGTTGCATTTCACAACAGTTTCAGATGTGGCTTGTCCAATCAAAATATATCAGCCATCAGCTTTAATATTTCTATTTGTGAAGAAATGTAACAAATATATTTAATAAATGAATAAATGAAAAACTTTATATGAAATTAAATAAAAAAAACGAATAAATTTATACAATTTAATATATAAAGAACAAGCAGAACTAGTCAGGAAAAAAATATGGTTGAGGCCTTGATTTTCATGCTAAATAACTGATCACCACTTTAAAAAACACTTAATATATATGTAAAAATCAATATTCTTGATGCAACATTTTTTCTTTTCCACACAGAGCTATGCAGCAGAGCTTTTGAATGACCAGCTAATCTGCAGCAGCAAATAATAAATAAAAAGACACCAAAGCAGATGTGATTTGTTCTCGGTGATGCTCAGTACGATTTTTTATATTTCCTCTTTTGCTTTCTCCATCCCTCCCTACTGCTAAGGCCTCCAAACACCCCTCATCCAAATTCTCCCTCTCTGTCTCGCTCTAATGAATCATCCAGAACTTTTCCTTCAAAGAAAGATGATAAAGCCCCTCTGGCACAAACACATATTGCATGCATTCATCACCACACAGATTTAAGGTATGTCAGCTTGCACCAACAGCTCGAGCAATCGCACACACATATATACACACACACGGTTTAATATATCTACAATTTAAGAGGAGCCCATGGTGCTCAGTCTCAGCAGATCGGTTTCGGTCTTAAGTCGCTGCTGTGCGTTTGCCCACACTTGCCGTGTCCACTCCTGGTCGTCTCGGGGCCTTGACGCTGCTGTCAGATAAAGGCACAGCTCTATTCTGCTGTGGACAGATGAGGCGGCGAGTAGACAGGTAGGCAGGCAGCAAGCGTGGAAAGGGCAGACGGAGAGCTGAATACTCATCCAGGGATTCACACAAGACAGCTGACTGGTATTTAAGATCTCACGCACTGTACAGAGCAGGGCAAAATGCACAAACATTAGTGCTCCCTCTTTTTCTGGATGCAAACACACACACAGTGGCACACACACACTCTGACTAAAACTTTCCTTTATCAGCCTCAAAGTGTCTTTGAACCCTGAACAAGTAGTACTTTCCTTTAATTGCAGTCTGTCACATATTTTAAAGAATAGCTGTTTGGAAGGGTGAAAATACATCAATGTCTGTACATTTAAAGAATTGAGAGAAAAGTAGAGGAGGAATAAAAGACAAAGAGTGGCAAATGGTCATCCAGACTTAATGAAGAATCCTTCTCATTTCCTAGTGAGTTGCATAATGAGGGAGCATTTAAGGGATTATAGGTGTGTTTCAGAAATAAAGGCTGTTCCAAATGCTAAGAAGCTTAAAGTTCACCTCAAAATGTTTTTTTTTTTTCATTATTTACTCATTCTTATGTCATTCCAAACCTGTATGACTTTATTTCATCTGCAAACACAAAATAAGATATTTTAAGCAATGTTGATTTTGTCCATTCAGTCAAAGCTAATGAGGTCTAAAACAACGTTTGATGAAGCAACATTCATCTGAATTATGAATTTAATTCATTCAGTACTGAAAAGAATTGAAAAAGCTAATTGAGTGAAATGAATGACATTTATTTAGTTTCATCTTTCTTTGTGCTAACTGTTAGCTCACACAAACACAAACACACACACACACACACACACACACACACACACACACACCACACAAATGTTTATTGACATTATTTACAGCAACAGCTGCAGTATGCTTTTCTCTACAGATGAGTTTTTTTATGTTTTCCGTTATTAAAATAGTACTTGCCCTGTATTTTCAGAACCCAGTAGCTTTCTAAATCACACTAGCTTGATAGTATTTTCATAAAGTATATTTCTGTTAAATGTGTGTTTTGTCTGAATCTATGCTGTAGAAGTAATAAACTACAATAAAAACAACAATAACAATGTGCCATTATAAGAAGGTCTGCAGAATAATTACACATGTAGTGCATGTACTTCATTAGAATTAATCAGCCCCATATAATTAACCCTGATGTAAAGTGTGAATGTGTAATCTATGCTCATTATTAACTGTTCTAAGCACGTTAACTGTTTTTACCAATACCTTATTTGCCCAAAATCCTGAGCTAAGCCTTAAATTCTGAGGTGGATTACAAAGTATGTGTACCGTTTCTTTGCCAGTAAGCCGAAAAACAGTCAGTCTGACTCTTAACACATAGATGCTGCGTAAAATCTATCTCCATTTGTACAAAAAATCTAAACGTTTCTGTCTGAAAGGATTTTGACTGATGGTATCAAAATTATGTTGTTTTGTCTTCTGAAAAATAACTTGTTTTCATAGTACAGTAGCCTTTTTGGTCTGTAGCTATTTTTGTAATATTTTATGGTCCTTATCTCTTGCCATTATTCAATGTGAAGTCTCAGTTTTACTGTGTGTATTTATTTTGTCACTATGTGTTGGATTTAACATTGACAGATACTTACAAGAAACATTTTGCCATATTGCCTCTGATTGGCTAGATCTGCCTTAATAACTGGAAGAATAAGAATTAAAAAAAAGAAGAGGAAGAGGAGGAAGAAGAACTATTTTGGTCCCACTCTATATTGGGGGTCTTTAAATACTATGTACTGAATAATATGTTATATATGTTCCTGTGGCTCAGTGGTAGAGCATTGCGTTAGCAGCGCAAAAGGTCGTAGGTTCAATTCCTAGGGAACACACATACTGGTAAAAAATTTATAGCCTGAATGCACTGTAAGTCGCTTTGGATAAAAGCGTCTGCATAAATTTAATTATTAATTATTAAATTATACATTATTATTAATTAATAATAAAATAATGGATTGTTAGGTACAATATACCTATTGTGTTCCTGTTGAATTGCTAAACAAACACTTTTGCTGCTATTGAAGTGGGATTGGTGGATTAGTAATATGGCTAGGTTTAAGGTGTAGAGGTAGGATCAACAGTGTAATTATAGAGATATCTACAGAAATTAATTTAAAATGTAATTATTTTTAAATATATGTACAATGAAAAATCATGGTTGTACACAATAAGTGCATTGTATCATATGTAAAAATTTGAAATTTAAGGTGTTACAATTAATGTTAATTGATTAATCAATGAAATAATATATAAGTGACTGCTAACCTAATTTCTATGAAAATTCTACAGTCATTCCCCTTCAACCAATTTCTATGTCAAATCCCTTTCATATATTCAAAATTATGTTTATACAGTGGTGGGCCATCAGGGTCAGCAGGGCCTTCTCTGCTGGCCCTATAAAAAATAAAATTCTGTGAAAATGGTTTTTTTATTATTTAGGTATCATTTTCATTTGTGTAATGTCCACAAAATGGTCTATGATTAGTTTCGTTGAGGTTGAACTGGAATATCCTACATTAAAAAAGTCTGCGGCCAGCACTACATACAGATAGTGCTACCCTTTTGTTCAAAGACGTCGCATCTGATTTGTAATGAGCATTATAGTGACGGAATCATCAGCCATTCAAATTTTGACGTTCAATGACACGTCAAGGCTCTCTGGGTCTAGCGACATGCCCAGTGCTACCCCCAGCCTTTAGATGGGAATTTCGAAGGTATGAAAGTGAAATTCAACGAAAAGAACATGACAGCCGCAGTCGCCGGCGCCTACACAAGATCTTGTTGCCGATCTACTAAAAATGCCTTTTTCAAGGCGCTCTTTTGTAGACAAAAGAGGAATAATTGAGAAAGGAAGACCTATACCCAAACTGAATTCGCTAACAAAGGATTTGTGGCCATTTCAAAGATTGCAACTACGAGTACTATGAGTGGCTAACAGCTAGCACCAAGCACAACAAGTTATTTGGCCAGGTTTACTTTATAATACGAGTAAAGGGACACGGAATGACAGACGCATGGACTTTATTTGCAAGTGACAAGTGAGTGCTTTATTATTTGACGAGTACTGTATCATGCACATTGTTATGGAGGTGTACGTGGTGTGTTGATAATACTGTGGCGTGTTGTGTGGATGTCCAGCATTTGTACAGTTTTGCTGCTGTGGCCGCGTCGTCATTTTAGAGTGACGGGAATGTGCATAGTGACCCGTGTATTGGTGGTGGATTACTTTTACTGATCCATGTAGGAAAATTTACTCTGCATTTAACCCACCCTAATCTAGCCTACTGTTGAAATTGTTGATCAGCTGTCATTGTTGTTGAGAGCCTGTGTGCAGCATAATATGCGCATTATATGCATATGGCTGCGTTAGCTGTAACAGAGATGTGTAAGATAGTTGTGTAAGGGTATGTAGTTTACAGTTGCTTACTGAAGGCCCTGACTGAAACCCCACGGTACACCACTGGGTTTATATAATATTTAGAGTGCCTCCACTGGGACAGAAAGCCTGTCCCTGTTATCTGTTTACACATAAGCAACACATATGAAAAGAAAATCTGAAAGCTCTGCTATCAATTTACACATACACAGACACACAAAACAAACCACTCTAAAGGACAAATGCGTAGAATAAATACTAAAAGTAGGAGCAGCAGTTCAGGGCTCTGGTCAAAACCTCTTTCTATCTGCAGAGCAATACAGTGTGCACACAGGCTGGCCAAAACAGCAGCTAGACAACAGAGGTCCGGCCAAATCAATACTAATGAATTCTGAGGTTGAAATTGCAGACAGATTTCATTGTGGCCTGGACTTCATGAACAATACATTTTCATTAAGACCTGCAAATGAAAACTTAGCGAAAAACAACAACCAGGGCCACTGGATGGAAAACTACTTATAAACATCTGATATTACAGTGATATTGTTATGTGCTGTGTATTGTATTACAGTCATTCACTGACCATTAAACGCTCTCATATTTGGTCTTATAAACATTAAACTGATTGTAACAGTGGCAGGGATGTATGCAGTGTAGCAGGTAGCTCATATAGTTATGTCAACCTCACCTATCAACATCTTACTTTGTGCAAAGGCAAATTAGTTTACCATTGACTGATTTCTAAATACTGATCTGTGTGCTGTGGTGTGGTACAGTAACGTAATTAGTATATGGAAAATGTCACTGAAAGACAAAAAGAGTGCAGTAGTGCTAAAAGAGAAAGAAGGAGCGTGATGAATGAAGGTGGGTTGAAGTAGCAACCTTGAAATTACAGAGAGGATTGAAAGTCTGAGTCCACATTGAAGAGATGAGATTAAAAATTTATTTTAAACCTAGAAAATATCGAGAGTGATGAAAGAATAACTTTTCAACAAGTTAGAAGTTATGGCACAAAATGAAAAAATAAATATTTCAGATTTTGCACTTCTAATTGATCTCCTTCGAACAAAAGGTCAGTGTTAATTTAGTCATCTATTTTCATTTTAGTCTTAGTCCTGGGCTAAAATGTCCTTGTTAATTTTTATCATATTTAGTCAACCTTATCCTATTTAGTTTTAGTCAAGTTTTAGTCGACTAAAAGTCTCAACATTTGAATCTAGTTTTAGTCAATGAAAACTTGACATTTTAACAATAAGATTATTATTAATTAACTGTACAGCAGTATTAATTTTGGCAGCCATTTTTAATTTAGTCTTAGTCTTACTCAAATGTACATTTTAGTTATCATATTTAGACAAACTTGTCCTGTTTTTGTTTATTCAATGAAGTGTATGAGCATTTTAGTCAGGTTTTTTAGTCAATGAAATATTAGTCTCATTTTCGTCATTCTGTATAACGGTTAAAATGATAAAAATAATTTTTTTCTCAAAATTATAATCGTAATGATTGTTGTCATTTGAGAAATGTACTTTTGCATTTCAGGTATTGCACTTTCTCCAGTAAGCACAAATCAATAGAATGTGGACACATACATGGTGTGTTTTACCTCATCTAGTGTACTGGTTTATAATAGGCTTTTTATTATATAAATCAACACCAAAGACTTATGCAATCTCTCGGTCTACATTATGAAAACAGCTAAAACAAACGAAAAAAATTATAACAGTGAAATTCCTAGTAATTCCAATAATTCCATAATTGCAATAGTCTATTTCTCTATTAAAACAACAGCGATTGAGTAAGTGTATTTATTCAGCGCTCACAATCGCAAACAATATAGCGAGATCTTATGACAGAACACTGACCGGCTGAATGACGCTTTCATTTAGATCGCTAACTCCAGCTTGTTTGTCGGTGTTTGTCGCATGGTTGCCAGATTGCTTAAAATAAGCAAAACACACAGAGCAGAAAATGTATGAATTTAACAGCGAAGCTCTGATTCGGGGGGAGGTTTTTGGTAAAGTTTTTATCTTTTTGAATACATTTTAGTCTCGTCTTATTTCGTCAACGAAATTGCATGTTGATATAGTCTTAGTTATCGTTTATTGACCTTATTGTCTTCTCTCGTCTTCATCTTGTCTTAGTCATGGGGAAAAAGCTCGTCAACGAACATTTTTCGTCATAGTCTTCGTTAACTAAATTAACACTAGTCATTAGTCAGTTAAAACAAACTCCTAACAAAAGAAAACCTGTAGTGATCATTTGTTGGAATCAAGGGCTTTCTTTAACCCTCTTTAAAGGGCTTGTTACAAGATGCTCTTTGGATCATTATGAAATCATGCTCGATTACATCAGGTTTTTCACAAACTTCTGGAGCTCATGGAGCTCAAGTGCAAGTGCAATTCTTTTTTAACAAAAATTGTACTAACAATATCATTTGTAATAAGGAAAATTATATCGAATAAAAAAAAACAATAAATAAGAAATACAATCCCATGGAACAAAAATTATGTTCATCTGTCTTTCGGATCAGACGTTAAACCGAGGTCCTGACTCTCTGTGGTCATTAAAAATCCCAGGATGTCCTTCAAAAAAGAGTAGGGGTGTAACCCCGGCATCCTGGCCAAATTCGCCCACTGGCCTCTGACCATCATGGCCTCCTAACTATCCCCATATCTGCTGATTGGCTTCATCGCTCTGTCTCCTCTCCACCAATAAGCTGGTGTGTGGTGGGCGTTCTGGCACAATATGACTGCCGTCGCATCATCCAGGTGGATGCTGCACACTGTTGGTGGATGAGGAGATTCCCCCCTTCTATGTAAAAAATATAAATGTAAGGAATTATAAGAACATTTTGCTAACATTCCCATTACATGTCCAGTTTTAAAAAAAAATAAAAATGAAAGGGAACATTTAATTTTATCATTATCATATCAATAAACATTATGGGAACATTACTTTTGAATGTTCTCTCTACGTTAGGAAACAAGTAACATTAAACATTAAAAAATGGTAGACGAACGTCCAACTAAAATGTTTCCGGAAAAAAAAAAATCGAATTCATGAATGATGTATTAAAAAATGTTTGTGCTAATGTTTTGAGAACATTTTTAAAGACAGATAGCTTTGAACCAACATTCTATTAACATTACTGGAAGAACATTTGAAAGAACTCTGCCAGAATGTTAGCCAAAGTTCTGAGAACATTCCCTGTTAGCTGGGATAGAAGCTTGACTCCACTGTATTTTCAGTATAATCTTCAAACAAAGTGACAGGTACAACGTAATACTTCTAAAATGTAGTAGATTGACTTTTTTTTTTTTGCCCACAATGGATGGAACACATGAAAGCAGTCCAAGAAAATCTGGCCTGGTTGTTCCATCAATGGCTAGAATCCAGTCATGTGACCAGCTGTTTGAGATCACTAATGGATGCTGCATGCCGTACCACGGGCTGAGTGTGATGCTCACTGCATATTCTATTGCTGTCTTTAACAGAAGCACCGAACGATTCTCACGACAGTTGGAGATTAAAATATCAACCACCCACACGAGAACCTTCAAGCAATCAAAAACACAATAAAAGAAGAAACACTGTAATACGACACACCTGTGGGACTAAAGACATGATCTAGAATACTTCTGATTTACCTTATTTGTAGATTAACTAACTCGAACATCCTGATAATTCTTTATATTTCCTATTGGCACTAGCTTACTAAAGTGAGCCTTGAAATGAAAAGGGAAAACAAATGGATGTTTGTGGAACTTAATCAAGTATACTTTAACCCATAGTTCTTAGGTTAAAGAAGTCTTAGGATCTGTAAAGCCTTAATAGTGCACCTATTGTATGCAAACCCGTGCCTCTGAAGATCATAAGGCAATGTGTAAATATCACTGCCTCTTTAGTACTGATCGACTCGCATTAAATTCTCACCTAGCAAATAAACTGCCGCAACACCATCTCTTAGAAGAGATAAACATGTTTTTATGTGAGCATTTTGTGGTGTAAGTATGATGTCTCATTAACTACAAGTAAACAGGTGTAGATTGCTCTTGGGAGATATTGCATTGCTCTGAGCTGCTCAAAGTCAGAGCAAACATTTAAAGAAAGCACCTTAGTGTGGAGTTCATGTATTAGAGAGCTAATGAAGGCATTCAAACACTTGACTATTCACTGATAGCACAACCAGACGGTCATTTTAGCTAATTAAACCCTGGCAGGGTTATCAGGACCCCGACTCAGAGAGGCGGAAACTCAACAAATAAATAAATATGAGGGCATGAAATATTGATTTGATTTAAAATTATTTTAAAATATTTCCTGTATATTATCTTTCAGCTTCCGCTGAGAAAAATTCCACTGAGCTACTTTTCCTTTTTTTTTTTTTGTAAACATGCTCTAGACAGACATCTTTGACCGTTCTATGACCCCTAACAGTTTTACAGTAATGTTTATAAAGAAGTTCTCCAAGATCATTTTCACTATTGATAACAAAAATGCAAGATGGCACCAGTTGCCTGTGTATAAAACAAGAGAGAGCAAGTATACGGTGTAATGAGAGGAGCATCAAGTTAGATTACCCAGAACGCTCTGTCATAAGAAAAGTGCCATGAACGACGGCAAATATTAGGAAAAATTTAACAGCTGGATTGGAAGTTTGACCAATCAGAATGTTATATATTTATCTCTGAAAATAATATTATTGCAGACTCTCAACAAATTAAGAATTAGGTGGACATCAGAAATACTGTCCATATAACACTCATAATCTCAACATAACTTCTAATGTAACAAAACTAAACGGTGAACACATTTCACTAAACATGTGGTAGCACGTGAAATCAGCAGAATGGCACACTATTACACTTAACTAACTTGTCATCTAACTTGTACATTAAACATCAGAACTAGCTGCAGTGCATTCTGGGAAACCCTGGACGCCACGTTATATCATAAACTCTTACGCAAGGTATATCCATCTCCCTTCTCTATTCCATTTGAAATGACTGAAAGATGAATTATCCCCCAAAGCCTTTGCATGTTATCAATATGTGTATGTGATGCTGCTAGCAGCCAAGGTGAGGATAGTGGTAAATGCAATTCTCCCTCTTCCTTTGGGAGTGGAGGTGATAATGGAGGTGGATAGTGCGGCCCAAATCACAGATTACAGCTGAATGTATGAGAGGGTCTTTTTCTCCTCGTCTTCTCTCAGAGACTAGAGAGATATGTAGCGGTAGAAAGATCAAGGCCACCACACTTACCAGAGTGTGTTATCATCTCTGTGCATCTCAGAACTGTGGAGTGGATGGGGGAAGACTGTAACAGTGCGCGCTCCCTGGGGAACCTGCCTGAAGGGGTGCGAATGCAGCTATCATGTTTCAATTCCTCCATTCGCTTCAAACATTATCCGCCCATCAGTTTTGCTTACTGCAGTTTTATTTAAGAAGCATGCTCCTGAACGACGACAGCACCAGGTACAAACCTATAGGAGAAAAATTATTTTTCAGTTCTGATATTATCAACAGGTAAAGAGTAGTTTGTGACATTGCTAAACACTGGATTACAGAAGTAAATATGATTGCCATTTGTTACTCATTCGTTGCATGAGTTGGCCACTGTGCTTCAATCAAAGCATGTGATAGTACACTTGGAGGGACTGTCTCTGCGGGTTAGCCAGCTGTGCATTGCGCTTACAGCATGACTGTGATCTCAGGAGCTCCAGTTTTTTGGTCACCCTTGCCATTTATCTAAATGCCTGTTCACACCAAGAGCAAAATGCAAAAGTGAAGCTAACTGGCAAAAATAGTCCTACTCACACTATGAGCGAAACGAAAAAGCACTATGGACATTCACATGATTTAATAGAAAACACATTACTGTAGATGACAGCAGAGATTAATTCAAATGCCCCACAAAACCCATAAACAGCTTGTAACACTCCAAAGAGAAAGGAAAACTTGAAAACGCATCATATGATCCCTTTAAGAAACACAATGGCTTTCAGCATTGATGATGAGAAATTATTAATAATAAATCAAATAATAATAAAATGAATACAATCATTTAATTAATTAAAATGTATAAAATTATTATAATAATGAGAAATATTAGTATGGTTTCTGAATTATCATGTGACACTGAAACAGGAGTAATGACTGCTGAAAATTCAGCTTTGCCATTACAGGAATAAATTACATTTTGAAATCTATTAAAATAGAAATATAGTGGTAGTGTAGTATGCAAATATTCTGTTTATAGGCCTGGTTACAGTTGCTCTCAAAATAAATTTGAGTGGCACGTGGAAAGACCTCTGAATTGGTTTTGAGTTTGGTAAAGTTCAATGCTTGTTTAAGGTAGCAGTAAGAGCTTCTAATGTATGTAAAATTGAAAGTTACTGGTGCCCACAAAGCCTAAGAGAACATTATTAGGCAAATCACTGTATTAAAAAAAAACCTTCATAGGTGCTTTCCTTTTCCCTCTTTTGGCCAAATCATTCCAGCCTGTCAGAGATATGGTTTATTATGATGAAAAATGTGATCCACATTATGATTGCGGTATGGCTCTCAGATCTGCTTGCATACTAAATCGACAACTGCATGATGGTTTAAAGCCTCAAGCTTGTAAAGAGATGAGTAAAGATGTGTTTGTCTTTGTACTTTGGGTCTGATTAGACTGGGGGTGGTACAAGACAAATTTGTTTATTTTCCTTAGATGAGATTACCTAAATAGAATGTTTCACCAAAATCATTTTGCCAAAATTATTCAAAAGAACCACTGCCAAGTTCAACTGAAAGGTCACCTCAAATCACTGTAAACAAGAAAATCACCACTGGATACAACCTACTCATTTTAACTGCTCTTTAGTTAGTACAGCAATTCTCAACATTTTCCTCAACCGGGCTGAAAGCAAGTCTAGTGGGCCGTATGTCATTTTAGATGACATATAACATCATCAATACAACCAACAGGGTTAATTAGGCTATTATACACCAGTTTATATACACACATATATATAGATATATATATACAGTGGTGTGAAAAAGTGTTGGCCCCACTCAGGTGTGATAAATCAGTTTTAACAGGGGGGCAAACACTTCTTCACACAGGGCCATATAGTTTTGGATTTTGTTTTCCCTTAATAATAAAAACCTTCATTTAAAAATTGCATGTTGTGTTTACTTGTGTTATCTTTGACTAATATTTCAATTTGTTTGATGATCTGAAACATTAAAGTGTGACAAACATGCAAAAAAATAAGAAATCAGGAAGGGGGCCAACACTTTTTCACACCACTGTATATATATTATGAGATAATAACAGAATGCTACCCACATAATTGAACGTGCAATGTGATGAGGTCATGTGACAAAGTAGAACGCTGATAATTAAAATGTTTATTGTAGAATGCCAACTGTTTAATTTACATCCAGTTTTATTCAGCAGTATTCCATTGCAAGCACAGCCTTTGACTTATAGTGAAGGACAATGGATACATGTGTAGTAACTGCGTGGGTTACACAGGCTGTCCACATCCAAAAAAAGAAGGAAAAAAGGAATATTATTTTTTTCAATGGTTGAGAAATGATGCACTGCTAACTTTACGCTCTCTCCTTTTATCTGTCATTTTTGTCCTTCTAACATCTGCTGCAGTTGGACTACAATATTTTCCGCTCTTTCCCTTTTCTTCTCTTCATTTTTCCTTCATAGGCAACAGATGACAAGCAGGCAGTTGATAGACCTGATCTCCAGGTTTGACCTTCTAAGAGGCTGTGCAATTCCGCCTGTCTCCTTTCCAATCCCTCCCACCAGCCTCTCTCTCACTCTGTGCTAAGTGATGGAGATGCAGCTTCATTGAAAATGACGTCTTAAAGAGCTAGAAAAAGGTTACAGTGGCTGACTTCATAACACGGGTACATTATTTATATCCAACTTCCCTGCAGTGCCTTGGTCGCCTAATTGGTGAAATGAGGGATTTTTATACATCCAAGGGCCCAGTAACACACACACAAACACTATAAACTACATTTCTTACAATAAGCTTATGGTCAGTTTTGCTTTTCACTTAAAGTATTTCAATGACGCTTACTGTAGATTTATGAAAATAACTACTAAATTTCTAAAACAATATGAACACATTGAAAAAAGGAAACTAACCAAAAAATCTGCTCTGTCCCATTCAGGAACGCTCTCCTTAAGTTATAAATTAGCTTCATTCATTGTAATTCACTCCCTGCCTTTGGTTCAATATATGAGCTTGGTTAACGGTCTCTACAGGATATCTTGCTGTTATTATAGATGAAAGCCTCTCTAGGGAGGAATCCGCTCTAAAGCCATCATGCAGTGCTGAAGGAGTGTGAACACAAGGCCAAGACCACACAGCTCTGAACAGATTATCCCTCTACACCTTTCAATCTATTCCACACCTCCAACTCTTCCATTTACGCCATTCTCTTGAGGACTGGTCTTTAAATAAATGAGATTCAATCAATCAGAGATGATATGCAATGCATTTATAATGTTAGCTTACACACATGAGGACAGATAGATTTCTGTAGGGGAATTATGTCCTAGAACGCCACTACAAAGAGATATATTGCATAGGATTTTGGCCTTGAAGGAATTGTTCATCCAAAAATGAAAAGGCTGAGTAAATGATGATGGAATTATGTAATTTCAAACCTGTATGACTTAATTTTTCTGCTGATCACAAAAGGTATTTTGAATGTTGGTACAGTTTTAGTTACTATTGGCATCCACTGTCCATTGAAACATTTTTCAAAATGTCTTCATTTATGTTTCACAGAAGAAAGAAATTATATGAGGGTGAGTAAATAGTGGCAGAATTTTCTATTTTTTTTTGGGTGAACTATCCAGAATTTTTCAAAGCAGCATTCAAAGGCTGTCTGTTTTTCTTTTCTTTAGATTTATTTTTGGCATTTTTTGTCTTTATATTGTTATATGACATAGATGAAACAGGAAGCGAAGTGGGAAAGAGAGAGGGGGGCGGGATCGGGGAAGGTCCTCGAGCCGGGATTCAACCTCGGGATGCCTGCAGCACAACGGCGCTTTATATCGGCACGCTGCCCACAAGGCTATCGGTGGTGACAGCTGTCTGCATTTCTGGTTAAAAATTTGTTTATAATTTAAAATTCACTTCTGAATGGCTCACGACTTGCTTGACCATCAAGCACCTTTTGTTTTCAGTTTGGTGACAATGGTGATTTCATTGGGTTGGGATTACACACTTACATGTCTGTAACTGGAGAGGACAGGGCACAGGTGCAGGGAATGTTCCAAATTATGGTTGGCAAGCCCCGCGACAAGCCAGAATGAGCCACAACATCTGTCTCTGCTGCTCGGCATCCGGCTGATCAGAAGTCAATTATAAAAACGTTAGCACCCCTGCAAAGGTAAATCGCCTTCCATTAGGAATAATCATTGCTCAATGCTTGTGTGTGTGGCACTAATTTAGTTTTGTGAGTGTGCTTTGAGATGAGAATGGGGGTGAAGTGACAGAGGAAGAAGGAGAGTGAGAGAGATTGCTTTAAGCCGTAATTTTCAATAGTCTTGATGGAATCATGTGAACCAAAACATTGACGATACACGCAAACCCACAGATCTGCCCTGTGTCTCTCATTACATTACTGTCTTAAAAAAGGGGAGAAGAGTTGGGCTCTGTGCAGCGTCGCCCATCTGACAGCCCACAAAAGAAAACATATTTAGATTGAATTAAATTGACAGCCCCTTGACATAAGAACTGATTTACAGAGGACAAGCTATCACAGCTCAACCCCCCCCCCAATATATAGACTTTAAAGGAAAGCGCCCAACGAAGACAGACAGGAATATGCTGTTCAAAGATTGGATTTTCTTTTTTATATCTACAAAGGAACACGCATACTCAAACACACACACACACACACACACACACACACACTATCCATGATCAGGTTGCAAGCGTCGTGAGAAAATGAGAAGGGCTGTCAGTCAAATGGAGAAATGATGCAGGATCTGTCAGGCCTGCATATACTCAGAAATTGATTGGCAAAACTTTCATAGGGAAAAACTATAGCAAACCTTTGCCGAGTTTCTCATCTCAAGAACTCAGTGAGAACGCCTGTGGAGAGATATTGTGATCAGAGATTTGCAGGGAAAAGGACAGTGCACTAAAACGGTTAGTGTATTGACTCATGACCACAGAACACAGAAACACCACAGCCTTGGAGAGAAAGAATCTACTACCAGCATTGTGACACTATCCAACTGCTATAATCTGACATCAAATAAAACGGTAAGTATATTTAATTTTAGCAAATTAAAGAATGAATAGACAAATAAATACAGAATTTCACATTTAAATAAACCATGAATACAACCACTGTCACAAAGCAAGGCCAGACACAACAGGTAAGTGCAAATCAGGATGGTTTATTGACTGGGTAAGGGGATGACTGGAATAGGTGTGTTCAAGGCAGGTGAGTGTCAACACAGTGAATGGTTCCAGGGTGCTTATCTGAGTTCTGATGGTGAGGATCGGATGCCGGTTACGTTGGAGATCGTGGAACAGTTTCCAAGGAGTCGTTGGAGGATCGCGGGAGGAACAGCAGGTAATTCGTTCTAGGAGAATTTGGCAGAGAGAGTCCAGAGAAGTTCGTAGGAGTGAACGGTAGACCGGAAAGTGAGTGACTGTGCTGTGTGTGTATTTGTAGTGTGGCTTGATTCGTGACAGCAGGTGCGGGTGATCAGAACTCAGGTGACTGTGATCGGGTAATTATCCTGGGTGAGGATCGGATGCCGGTTACGTTGGAGATCGTGGAACAGTTTCCAAGGAGTCGTTGGAGGATCGCGGGAGGAACAGCAGGTAATTCGTTCTAGGAGAATTTGGCAGAGAGAGTCCAGAGAAGTTCGTAGGAGTGAACGGTAGACCGGAAAGTGAGTGACTGTGCTGTGTGTGTATTTGTAGTGTGGCTTGATTGGTGACAGCAGGTGCGGGTGATCAGAACTCAGGTGACTGTGATCGGGTAATTATCCTGGATGGTGACTGAAGTGACTGTGATGAATCCCTGACAACCACATGATTACATTATGCTAAAATAAAATAATACTTTTATTATTATTAAATAAACTAAATGATATTCCTGTCAATAAGTTTGCACTGAAGGAAATTTGTGTGTGTCAAAGAAGCATGTTGATTTAGTTAGCATTATCTACAGAGAAACTGAAAATGGCACAAACCCATACTGCGTGGCACAATAAAAAGAAAAGTAGAAAAGTAAAAGTAAAAAAAATCAACAGTTTTTGTGCCCAGGGCCTACGATCTCTTAATCCATCTATACTTTTCTCAGAACGGCACAGCCTCCATCTTCAGGGCCAGACAATAGAGCGCCAATCAATAGAGCTGACATTGAAATGCAAGCAAACAGATTGAAGGTAAAGGATGCCATGGCAACAGGCATTACTGAGTCTCAAACTCCAAGGACAGTTCCATCAGAATGGCTTCATTAGACAGTCTAACACTTTTATTTGCATGCATTTAATCCACACACACAAAAAACTAATCCCCTTCAATGAACTTAGTACTTAAAGTTGCCAAAACAGCATTCGCAAGTAGATCTAGGAGAATTGTCTTAAAATGAACAATTTTATTTTAATATCAATGATTTACCAAAAATGTAAAATATGTGAAAGGGCACAGATGCTGATTTTGTTCAAATCTGACTGCAAAACCTCAGAACAAGTACAACTTTTCAAATTAAGGGCCAGTTTTACTAAACAGGGCAAATTAGCGCAAGAACGCAATTCCAAAACAGCGCCGAAGGGAGGGGAAATTTCTGCGGGTGATTCACTAACAATGCACAAATTAAAGAACACAGACGCAACATCTCATTTACATATTGACCAACGCAATATACCAAGCACAGTGCAAATTAGCGTTGTTACAAATACAGAATAAAATAAAGAAGCCACAGTACGTTGAAAAGGACCGGAGGACAAAAAATTAAGGTTTGCTAGAAGTTTTGATAGACCTGGTATTGCGTGACCCCTAGTTGAGGGTTCCAAGTCTTCTTTTATTTCCTGAAGCAACTTAAAAATAACATGTCTTGGCAAACGATATGTTCGGATAATGTGTTCTTCTGGCATTAATTCAAAATAAATTACTACGTGTGGAAAAAAAATCCTCTCCCTTCTCTCTGTTCTCTGCGGTGCCTCCTCCTAGCAACAATAATTGCAGCCATTTCAAGCGCAAAATAAGACATGCTTTTTTGCCAGTAATTTGACGAGCGCAAACATTAGTAAAACGCGTTGCGTGATTCATTTGAACACTCTCCTACCATACATTTTGCATCTGAAAGGGAAACTCCTATAAATGCATATTCAATAAGGTCAGGCGCAAAATAACTATCTCCACACCTTTTCAGCGCTAATTCGTCACTGCGCGCCTTTAGTAAAACCTGACAGTACTATTTAAATGCCAAAAGACGGTTTGCACGGTTTTAGTAAAACTGGCCCTAAATGACATTTCAAAGTAAAATAAGTATTTACTAAAGGTTTTTAAAACTTTAAAGATCTTTTTTTTTTGTCCTGGGTGGAAAAGTTAATAGTCCTAAAGAAAATGTGTAATGTCCTCTGACAACTCCAAGTGCATTTCAAATCCACTTTTTGAACTGTTTACTGCAAACTCAGTGACCCACCTGGTGGCATTTTCATTCCCATTTTCCCTGCACTTAAACAGCATGTTCCTCACACCTTTAAAAAACAAACCACATCACTTTTACCTGGAGAGCTTGCATTAGATAGGGCATAATTTCAAAAAACAGCATATTATCTGACCCTAGGAGAGGAAGGCAGGAAGTCTGTGCCATGGATCGGTGCATGTATTGGGTGGGGGGGCTCTCTGCACTCGAGATGTGGAGATATGGAACAAGGCATTAATTGAGCTGCCTGCAGAGGGGAATAGCATAAGGAAGAGCTCATTAAAAATGATTATTAAAGAAACAAGCAGAGCAGCAGTGCTCAAGCATGGCCAAAACACTCAGACAGAGGGGAAACAGCTTGTGTCGTTCTGCCATGAGGACATAACTTACACTAAATACGAAGCAAAAAGTCACACACTGAACAGGGTAGTCCAAATACATGCACACAAACAGAAAGTCAAATTAACTGTGGAATATCGTGTGTATTAGGCAAACCTTCTGTGACAGAAAGGATTCTTCATTGTAAGTAAGCTGAAACATACAGAAAAGCCTAAGCTTTAAAGTATAGAAGAAGCTTTTTCATTTTCAGATTGTAAATGTGCTCTTCAGCTAACTTCTTGTTCTCACTGTTCAAGTGAAATTCAGTTCACATTCAACATTTCAGCTAATAAAGGCACTGTAGCCTACTGAACCTGTTGCTACGTCTATTGCAAAGCTTTTGCCCTGTTTCTCAGCTCAACTCGCACAAATATTAATATTTTGCACTGTAGATCTAGCCGTGAGCCTTAAAAATATGTGGGCTTGCACTTTTAAAGTAAACTGCAACCAAACTGATTATCATTTAAAAATAAACATTTAGAAAATGTTCCCCAAAATAGAGAGTAAATTTCTTTCTAGGACTTTTTCCTTATTTTATTTCCTAGTGTTATTTATTTATTTTGATTTTTTAAGCTAAGGTTAAGAGTCTTCTATTTTGTTTAGTTATTTTACATTTTAATTCGTTATTAGAATTTACATCAAAATGTGGCACTACAAAACAAATTACATTACATGCTAAAATACAGGGCTGTCAATTTAACACTTCAATTTAATGTGATTAATTTGAAAGGAAATAAAATAAACTCTCTCTCTTTCCTTCGGCTTGCTCCCTTTTATCAGGGGTCACCACAGCGGAGTGATCCGCACAGCCGATTTGGCACATGTTTTACACCGGATGCCCTTCCTGCCGCAACCCAGCCCTGAGAGTGCACAAACTTGTGCAAAGGAAATAAAATAAACTAAATGCGATTAATCGTTCCCCACCTGGCTCAGATTAAATGAAACAGCCAAAAATATTAAGTTACACATGTAAATAGTTCAACAATTAAATAGAAGAGATGGAACCACTGATCTATAATAAAGAACTGGATTGCTCATGACGTCATAAAAGTGAAGCCACCGCACCGCCATATTTGTATTCCCTAGTATTCCTAAACATTCTATTGAATTAGTAGGAAATCGTACGATTTTAATGAGAAAACATCACCTAACAAGTCAGCATTTTTATATCTGAAGTATCCCTGTATATTCTTACAATGAAAACATCCTAAGTATGTAAACGGTTATTTGTTTAATGTCGGGAATTTCCCCTGCTTATTAAAAAGTTGCATTCATATACATTATAGTAGCGAATATCAGATGAACATGAATATCAGACGGACGAGATCCTCAACACATGTATAACAGTTGATATCAAGTGCTCATTCTGAAATCTGAATATACCGTATACATATACCTTAATTTGCCTTGTACAGTTATTCACCATTTATGTAATTTTGTTATAGTGTTTTATTCATACAGTAGGCTAACTGCAAATGTTTCAACAATGACGTTGTTAACAGCATTCATTTTGAAGCAAGACAATGATTTAAACATTGGTTAAATTAATTATTAATTTAACAACATTTTACATGGAAGCGGTAATGCTAGTAAAACATCATATTTGCGCGATCTTGGAGAGTCTGAAATAGATGTTGCTCAATCAGGACATTAAAAATAAACACATCTCAGCGTATTCAGAGAACATATGGTGACTACATATGGTACGGACTTAAAGACATGATGCTTTATTTCCAAGATTATGCATGGTAAGCTTTGAATTACAATACGCTACATCATAGAGCAATATAGTAACAGAGGCTTGTATTTTATTATTCATTGTATATTCAAATCAATTTCGGATACTAATACCAGATATATGTTCATGTTTAACAATTCCTGCATAAATACTGTACGTGCATAAAGAAATATATTTTATGTTGGATCAGTTACCTGTGTCAGCAGTGTGCAGCAGACACACCCACCTTAACGATTTCAATATATCGCTTATCCTGCCCAAAAACACAGTAAACATTGCAGATAACATCTGAAGTAAAAATTAATTTAC